ATTTAAAATTAAAAGATTATGTTAATTCATGTATTTGAATTAACCATCATGTATTTAAGCTTTATTGACCAGTCAGCATCCAATACTGGAACCGCAGTATGACACCCATTATTGTGGATTTTCCTTGTCTGTCAAACTGATCAAATATAAATGAATTACATCTAATAATGTGCAACTGTCCCTTTCACAGCCCGTATGTCATAGGAACTATGAACCAGGGTGTGTCCTCATCTCCAAACCTGGAGCTGCATCACAACTTCAGGTATGGTACTCAGATATGATCTGATGATTGTTATTACAGCCTCTTGCCACATGGGGGCCATAAGTGATCATATTTTACATTTGTCACTTACACATATACATACACGAACAGTACAAAAAACACATACACACACTGATCTTTCCAGTCATGTTCTCAGTGTAATATCAGACCTTCTTTCCCTCAGGTGGGTGCTGTGTGCCAATCACACTGAGCCAGTGAAGGGCTTCCTGGGCCGATTCCTGAGAAGAAAGCTGATTGAAACTGAGATTGATAAAAACATGCGCAGTAACGACCTCATCAAAATCATCGACTGGATTCCAAAAACCTGGCAACACCTCAATTCCTTCTTAGAGGCTCACAGCTCCTCAGACGTCACTATCGGTAATACACACAACGCATAAGCCGCATTTGATCTGGTTATTCACAGAACAGAGGTGAGATATTTCATCTGTCACTCCCAGGTCCTCGGCTGTTTCTGTCCTGTCCGATGGATGCGGACGGCTCACGTGTGTGGTTTACTGACCTCTGGAACTATTCTCTGGTGCCATATCTACTGGAAGCAGTACGAGAAGGACTGCAGGTACACATGCAGCCACAACACTCAATGTATTGGTTTTTTTTTCTCACAGTTTGTAGCTAAAACTTTTTGTTATCTGCTTGGCTCATTGCTCCAGCTGTATGGTAAGAGGGCGGCATGGGAGGACCCGTCCAAATGGGTGATTGACACCTACCCCTGGAGCTCCGCCTCCCTGCAGCATGAAGGCCAGTCACTGCTGCAGCTGCGGCCGGAGGACGTGGGCTATGATGGCTACAGCTCCTCTAAAGACGGAGCCACCTCCAAACAAGTGTCTCAGAGCGACACAGAGGGAGACCCACTGGTAAAGATAGCTTCATAAAACATAGTTAATTTAGATAATACACTACTGTTCAAAAGTTTGGGGTTGAATTAAAAATATAGCAATATTGTGGAATATTATTAATTTAAAATTTCTTTTTTTAGTGTATTTTAAAATGTAGTTTATTCTTGTGATAGCAAAGTTGAAAGATTACTCTTTCTTAAGAAATCATTCTGATATGCTTATTTGCTGCTTAAGAACCATTCATTATTATTATTATGATCAGTGTTGAAAACAGTTGTGCTGCCTGAAACTGTTTTTCAGGATGATTAGGAAGTTCAAAAGAACAGCATTTATTAGAAATACATATTTTGTAATATTATAAATGTCCTTACTGTAACGTTTGATCAGTTTAATGTGTCCTTGTTGAATAAAATCATAGATTTCTTAAAAAAAAAAAAAAACTTATTCATCCCAAGCTTTTATCGGTAGTGTATACTGTATGTCAGTGGTTCCCAACCCTGGTCCTGGAGGCACCCCAACACTGCACGTTTTGCATGTCTCCTTAATCAAACACACCTGATTCAGGTCATCAGCTCAGTAGTAAAGACTCCAAGGGTGCTTCTCAAACGGAAGGCTGCATCCTACCGAGGCTGTGCCCTTCCTAGCTCAGTCCTTCAGAGGCTTGTAGGCTAGAGTCCTCCTCGGCATTAAACGCTAGAATGAGACAGTCTAGTAAGTGCGCGTGGCTACGTCACATATGTTCCCGCCCTCACCGCCAAGGCACGAAAATACTAATAAAACTTTGTTTTGGAAAAATACTTTGTATTACAAATCATTCTATTATTTGGCTTTCTATTAATTCAATACAATGAATCACAGCCGTCTAGTCTCCCACTCGCTTACATTATTGGCAGTTTAGCGTTTAGTGAGTAATTTACACCAAAACGAAAAATAACATCTATGCTTTCATGTCTGGAAACATTATTTTTGTCTTACATTTCATAATAAATTCAGACAAGCTCAGTACTGAATCGTTTTTCATCAGTTTTCATGAAATGGAATGGGCACAAAGGATTGTGGGTGATTGAAGGTAGCAAAGGATACATCCCATGCATCCTTCAAATTCAGCTGAATGAAGGACACGAAACGAAGGCTGCCTTCCAAGGATCCTTGCGATTGAGATGGCTTTCAGCAACGTTTGATGACGTGACAGCCGAGATATGCAGCCTTTGTAGGATTCAGCCTTCCGTTTGAGAAACACCCCAAGACAGGGGTGTCAAACTCAATTGCTGGAGGGCCAGAGCCCTACAGAGTTTAGATGCAACCCTAATTAAACACACCTGATCCAACTAATCAAGTCCTTCAGGCTTATTTGAAAACTACATGGTATGTGTTGGAGCAGGGTTGGAATGTGCAGTGTTGGGGTGCCTCCAGGACCAGGGTTGGGACCCACTGCTGTATGTTATAAGATACTAAGAGATACAGTGCTAAATTTTGTCTTGCTAAATAAACAGCTCTTTTTCTATGTAGACTAGAAACTGCCCAAGAGCGGCAAGGTATTGAATAAGATCATATTTCATAGAAACTATGAAGTCTACAGTGTTATCTAGATCAAATTCTCACATACAGTATTTTTCTAAAATGTCCATGGATAATAAAGACCAGGGGCTCAGATAATCTGTCTGTCAGTGATAAGCGTGTGTGTGTGTGTGTGTGTGTGTGTGTGTGTGAGAGAGAGAGAGAGAGAGTTGAGCCCTTTCCTACCCTCCTGTGGACATCACTGTACTATAAGATTCTGAATATGAACGCTATGATATTAATGTCCTCTAGGTGGCACCACTTAGATATTCAGCACAAGCAGTGGGACTTATTCATTAATCTTGACACATGGGCAGAACAAATGTCTTTGTAAATCATAACTTGTTGATCATGTAACTTGTTGCATTCAGTACAATTGCACAGTTTACATGAGAATGGACTTGTACACAGAAATTTGTTCTGATATTTTTTCACGAATAAGGCCCAATGTCAAAAACACTATTCTCAACACATTTTTATGTTGTACAAATATTTATTAGTGTTCATTATTAATCATTGAAATAATATGATAATAATAACTTTGGCTTCCTGAGGTCAATGGCACACTTTGCGAAAAGGCTTTTAAACAAACATTATTGTGCTGTCTCATCTTGCTGTTTCCTCTCATTTCTTTTTTTCCGAGAACAGACGTTCAGAGATTATAAGGTGACAGAACTGCTGTTGTTTGTTTAAATATCAGTGATTAGTTTGATCTAATTGAGTCTGATAGCGCTTTTGTTTATAGATTCAAGGATTTTATTAGTTGTAAAGTTTCTCTCTATTGTCTCTGTGTGAATATTGAGGTAAAAACATTTTGTCTGTCTGTGTTTGATCCAGTGTTTGTCTTTTTGTTACACTTTATATTTACATTCCAGATGTGTTAAGCTAGTGTTTAAATAGCCATTGATGTGAATTTGTGAATGAGATTTTGTAAACACCATCAGTTTCAAGCGTTGTGGCTATGTTTTTGAACATCAATAGCGTGGTTGTTCATGTGTTGTACAACTGAAGTAGTGTGTTGTTTGTTTAGCACAGAGTATCATTGGGGAATGTTACATTTCAAAGTAACTTGTTACACTGCATGTGCCCTAATCAAAAGGACTTAGTTCAAAAACATTTAATGTTACTTTTTGTGGAACGTGTGGAAGGTGGGGTCACATTTATCATTATTTGGCAAATGTTTGCAGGCAAAATTCATTTCAAAAGTCATTTCATTTCATCAATACGAATATATGCAAGTGTGAATTTTGCATTAGGGAAAAAAATCCCACACAGATTTCACAACAGGTTCAAGTTGGTTACATAAATTCACAACGTTGACCAACAGAAAGATGCTTGGTTTGAAAGTAACTTCTGTGTCAGCTTTGCTTCATACATTGCTACACTATTAAAGGGATAGTTCACCCAAAACTGAAAATTCTGTCATTAATTACCCTCATGTCGTTCCAAACCCGTAAGACCTTAGCTCATCTTCGGAAAAACTAATTAAGATATTTTTGATGAATTCCGAGAGCTCTCTGACCCTCCCATAGACAGCAAAGATCCTAACACGATCAAGGTCCAGAAACGTAGCAAGGAGATCGTTTAAATAATCCATGTGACTTCAGTAGATCAACCGTAATTTTACAAAGCTACAAAAATACTTTTTGTGCGGAAAGAAAACAAAAATAACGAGTTTATTCAACAATTCCTCTCCTCCGCATCACCCTATAGCGCCGTTTTGGAGAGTATCACATACCTAAACAACATATGCAGCGTATGTATGCAGATACGTTGTTTACACTTTGATCTGAACATAAACAACGTATCCGCGTACGCTGCTGCTGACACAGAACAGCATACGCTGTTTACATATGTGATACTCTCCAAAATGGCGCTATAGGGTGACGCGGAGGAGACAAATTGCTGAATAAAGTCGTTATTTTTGTTTTCTACGCACACAAAAAGTTTTCTCGTAGCTTTGTAAAATTACAGTTGAACCACTGATGTCACATATATTATTTTAATGATCTCCTTGCTACAGTATGTTTCTGAGCCTTCATCCTGTTAGGATCCTTGCTGTCTATGGAGGGTCAGAGAGCTCTTGGAATTCATAAAAAATATCTCAATTTGTGTTCCGAAGATTAACGAAGGTCTTATGGGTTTGGAACGACATGAGGGTGAGTAATGATAGAATTTAAATTTTGGGGTGAACTATCCCTTTAACAATAGACAATTGACCTTTTTTGCCTGTGAAATTCAGCTGAAAATTTGCTAATGTGACTGCATCTGAACATTCTGGCTACTCGTGTTTCTGTTTTCTTCCAGTCTATGTTTTTTCCCCCCAGAACAATAGAACAAGTCTTGGCTATTCATTTTTTTTTTAATAGTTTGTAACATTGTTTAATTGCATTGTTTACAAGGATCTAGTGATCTAGAAGACAAATTACTTTTTAAATTCTATTTGTAAGTAAATAAATAGAGATGTATGTTACTTATTGGAATTTAAATTTAAATGTAATGCATTACATACTTCTTATTCTTGAAAAGTAACTTAATTACATTGTAACATGTAACCCTGACTGTAACATCTTCCGCATATATTTTTCCTTCTCCGTCCATTAGATGAATATGCTAATGAGGCTACAGGAAGCTGCTAACTACTCCAGCGCCCAGAGCTGTGACAGCGACAGCGCCAGTCACCACGACGACCTGCTGGACTCCTCATTGGAGTCTGCCCTCTAGGCCCTGCCCCATTAGAAGAAGTAGTCTTCTGATTGGTTTAAAAACAGAGCAAAGGGCCCACAGGACTTGTGCTTATGAAACAGGCTTATGAAACGCCTGACGCCTCCGGTGGTAAAAGGATGCAGAGTCCAGGATACGGCGAATGAAAAGGTGCTGGTGGCACACACGACACTGGCGAAAAGTGTGTGTGCCCACATAATTAAAAAAAACAACAACTGGAATTTGAATTTGTTGGAGGTGATCCGTTAGTTAAACATGTTTACAGAGGCAAGTGTTTATTTTAAATTCACTGAGGTGCAAAAACCTAAAGGGCAACATTCTGAATTCTGACCTCAGTCAATAAACTGGTGCTGCCGTGGTGCCAAAACCAACACGCGGTTTACACTCATCTCGCCAGCACCATTCATGAAACGCCTCTAGCCAACAAGCACAAACGTGCAACGTGTCATTACCGCTACTGTGAAATCATACGCAAATTCGCAAATCTCGTTTCACTGCCAAGCGTATAGTGACCTACAGCACCCCTGCACCACACCGTTCCTTGCAGTAGTCTTTCGTTCGACCCCACGGCCGTTTGCATAGTTTTTTCTCTTCTCCGCAGGTACGAGGCAACCGCTTGTAGGAGAGTGTACCAGCTTTGTGAAAAAGACCAGAAAATGGTGCTTTCTTGCTGCCTTAAGTGTGCTGAGCTCTGAAGACATTTAAATGTGGTGCCACTGTCCTTTTTCGCAGAAATGATGGCGTAGGACAGAACCGATCAGACATTTTCCTAAATATGCCACGTCCACATATTTTATTTTTGTTACAATTAGTGTAAAACACGGCATTGTAAAGGTCCAAATGTATAAAAGTAAAAAAGATCTTTATGTAATCCCAGCTGAGCTGGGATCACTTGAATCGAGAGCACAAATCCGACGCGTCGCTTCGCTAGCATGCTGTTTTTACTTTGCTATATGTGTGTACTTGCACGCGGAAACGTTTTTCGCTCCCGTGCGCCAGTGTTTGTGTAGTTGAAGTTCATTCATCCTTTCTTTTGGATGAGCTGTCTTGCACAGCCTCTTAAAGATGCACTCTGCCCGGTCGGTATTGCGTTTCTGCTCTTCTAGTCTAGCATTACGCTCTTGTGATTTACAGAGAAAAAAAAAAAAGCAAACCAGCAACCTGTCCAAACCGTATATGTCTTGTAATGACTGGTTATTATACAGAGCTCTAAACTGTACAGTGAGAGGTGAAGTGTTTTTCAATTTCAGAAAACTTTAGTGTCAGTTTACTGTTCAAGGGCGTAAAATCATTCAAAGCGATTCACTGTTTTATCTTCGCAATGCATCAGAGCCCAACCATATCTAACTCGCATAACACTGTTACACTTCCTGTCCTGCAGCTTTCAGAGACACTGGTCCCTTTGGACGTAAACCTCACTTAAAGACCCCATGAATGTTTTAATGTAGAACCCGACTGCCGAAAATAGCCATTCTAAAGAGCATCTGATTGGACAGAAATGTGTATGCATCCTTAAATGCAGGATCATTTTTGATCTATTGTGATTCAAATATGTTTATGAAAGATAAATACTGTACATTTTAAATGTGTATATCTGCTTAAAGTATTTCTGACAACTTCTAAGAGTACAAGAGCATATAAATGACCTCAAAACTAATAGACAGACAAAAAGCCACAAAACTCTTCATTTTGAACTCGTTTTTTTTTAACAATTCATGAGTATCATTGCACTAGATAACACAATCAAATCAAGCGGCATGTATTTTGCAAAGAAACATTTCACAAAGTGTGTGACGTTTTTAAATAATGAACCATTACAGTGTTCAAAAGGAATACAAAAAGTATTAGAGGACACTTTCTGGTCGTCAAACAGAAGAACTAGACCTGTGGTTACTTTGCTCAACTAGTAAATCAACAAGAGACAAAAACAAGTTAGTTGAAGGTTTAACATCATTTGTTATGAAGATGCTACTCGGTTTGGTGTTTTGTGTTTTGTTATCTAATATAATGATACAGAATTCAAGTTTGACTAAAGTCTCTGAATACTTCTTAGGGCCACTGTAAATCACTTACGATTAAGCAAAAACTTTAAACAGATTACCCAATTTACTGTGAGAGACTTTTCATTGGATTATATTTTAAGAGTTTGCACATGTTTACAGTAAATTAATCTCTGTTTGCTTGATGTACATGGTCAGGAGATACAAGGTGTTTCATACAAGGTGCTAAAGGTGAATCATTGAAAAGCTTTGCGTCTTATACGATCAAGCCTTTACCACATCCAGCTTCACCTTCTGACTCAAACTACTTTTCGCAAAGTAACTCATCCTCACTGCCACAGTTTTACAGGCTTTAACCTTCCAGTCTTTCCAATCTACCTTTTTGTTGATTCAGGAAACTGCTTCTTTTTAATTCCTCGGCACTATACAGCGGTGCTATGTATTAACCTCCAAACTCTGAGACTCTGTGCCTGATGCTTTGCTTGTCAACCATGTTCAGTGTAAAACTACTCAACAGAAACATTTATAAGAAGTGCAGTAAAGGTTTCCAACTGCCTACTGGTCCCTAACCTCAAACACAAATAGTGATTGTCCGTGGTACATCACAAATCATCTTTTCCTTTTCTTCATGTTATTGCAAACACATCTCTCGGTCAGCGCATAACATTGAACTACTTTGAAAATGTTTCTTTTCAGGTGGAACATTTGTTGGTAGATGTTTTATATTTTGTACATTTGTAAGTAACATATCATGTAAATAGAAAGAGACCACAATTTAATTCATCTGGGGGATTTTGTAGTCTTTGTAAAGCCCTAATAAATGGTATTTGGTGTCACCCGAGCATTGAGTGTTGATTCCTTATTTATATATTTATCAAAATTATTTTATAATTATGTTTTGTCTTTTTTTTTTTATGTATGTTTTATGTGTATGTCATATTTTGTGTGGCAAAGTACTATTCAGTTCAGTTTTACCAATAAATGATTCACTCATGAACCTTGTTGTGCCCTCTTGTGGTTCTGGAAGTAATAGCATCACGACTGCGCTGTGGCCTCAGCTTATTCTGAATTCATTACAGTGTGTTAAGACCAGAGTACATTGCTTGAGACTTGTGATGAGCTGAGGTTTCAGGGTGTCTGATTTGCAATAACCCTACTGCATGCATTAAGAAAGCAATATTTAAAATAAGCACATTTTTAGATTGACTTGCGATATTTGTAGGGCTTCTGAAATTGCATACTGTCTTAATATAATATGTAATTGCATTGCAGCCTTTACAGTATATTCTTTATGGAAAGTGCATTCTATAAAGAATGAATGTGTGTGAATGTAATCCAGATGTACTGCATGTGATGTGACCTACAGCTCATTCACTGCAAGAATCGTGGTTTCATATAGTCAAGTCTCCATTGGATGCGCACTTCAGAATCTCTCTATTTTGCCTAATTTTCACATATGCATTCTTTGTGTTGTATTACTATGCTTGGTTGCTAATGAATGAATCAAACAATCAATAAATGTTTCAGATGATCTGCGGAAATAATGCTGGCATGATTGACCTCTGTGTGATCTGTAGTCTGACAGGCAGGTCTGCAATAGATGACTGCATTACTATAGAAGTGCTAATAAAGATGTTGTATTACCACCACACTTTATTCAATCAGGTGTCCTATAATGAAACTTGGGAAGGGTTTATTCTCTTCAAACTGACTCAGTGTCTTGCTTTGTCAGAGCAGGAACAATCAGAGGCTTTTTCCCAAACAATGACCTTAAATATCAAAGGGAATGAGGCGTCTCAGCACGGCCTGTTTGTGATAGCTGTAGTTTAATGTACTAAGTGACATGCATTAGCATTATATAGAAGTATATTTGTATATAGAAGTCTTAAATATTAGCAACAATACCCTGTTTAATTCTAAACGTTAAAGAGGGATGGAAAAAGCGGTTACACTTTACTTGAAGGGGTGTGCATAAGACTGACATGACACCTTCATAATCATGCAATGACACGTCATGAATATGAAGGTTTTTTTATGCATGTTTATGCACACCCCTTCAAGTAAAGTGTTACCGAAAAAGCCATATAAAACTAAACTATTGCATGTATATTAGCCTTTAAACATTGTGTGTGTGTGTGTGTTATAGTTTGTATATATACACTCTAAAAAATGCTGGGTTGTTTTAACCCAACTTTGGGGGATCCATTGGTTGGCAAGTGATGTAATGCTAAATTTCTCCAAATCTTTTCCCATGAAGAAACAAATCTATCATCATCCATCTTGGATTGATTAAAGGTAAGTTAAGTTGTTGAAATTTTAATTTTTACCTTTTTTTTCCAGGAGTAAATTTATGTCCTGAGTGTACCCTTCTCCTGACATCAATACAAACAAGCAAAGTAGATCAAATGTCTTAGCCAAGAGGAAGGTGTCCGCTTACTTTCCGGATCGTACACTGCTGAAGAAGTGATGGAAAAACTTTTGAGTGTAGCGGTGTAGGGCTGATTGATGCTCTCCGTTCCTTTCCCAGCATCACCCTGAGCTTCAATCTCTCTGGGCTTTCACTTGTCAGATAAATAAATGGCTCATCAGTGTCTAATTTCATAATAGCTAATTATTGATCTGCATGAGTTGGCAGTGTAATTGAAATGAGGCTGGAACACTGTGTCTCAGAGTGCTGACGAAAGAGACGACCTCACAGTGAATCATTCTCTCTGGTTCACAAAAGACGTCAGTAGATTTGTCCCCTCCGGCAGATGAAGAATTTGCAGTAGATTAAAACTCTTCGCTATCTTGATTACATGAGGTGATTTGATTAGTGGAAACATTTTACCTGCTTACCTCAAATAGACTACACACTACGCTAAAAAAAAAAGCAATTCCCATCAGCAAACCGCAAAACACCTGTTTTTGGTAAAGCAATTTCATGTTATAACAAATTGGTACTTTGTCAAAATAAGCTAAAGAACAAAAAGTTTACGCATCAAGGATTAACGAACCATCAGATTCAAAAGCGTAAGATATGTATTATAAATTATTCAGACTCTATCTACTGAACTTTCACCACAGACAAATATTTCTGCAGTGCTAACAAAACTATATTTTCTTCATATCATGCATGTATTAAATGTGCTAGGCATTTTGTTTTTTGGTGTTGCGATATAGAGTTTCTATCAAGCACAATAATTTAAAATGAAGACAAAAAAGTGAAATATGGAATGAAAACCTTCAGTATGAAGACAATGACAATGTTAACAAAAGTAAGAACACTGCCATGAAGTTTTATTAAAAAGTGTATTTTAATTCCTTGCATAATTTAAATTGTTATGCAATTTAAATTGTCTTATTTGGGGACATCGGGACAGTCAGATTTGCTTAAAAATACATATTTATATTTCTGTTTTGTTTAATTTTAAAAGTGATTCCAGTGATCTTCTCTGATATGTGGGCATGTTCTTTTAAAAACTACTTGCAGATAAAGATTTCAGTTTCAGTGAATCAATGATCTATAGAACTTTGGGAAAGAAATTAAATACAAATAATACTAATTAAAAAAATGCTCATGATCACGACTTTACTGTTTGTTGAGCTAATCAAAAGCAAAATAAATCAAGCATATTTAAAATCCTTCGTTTTCAGTGGGCTGTGAGTCGTAGAGGTCAGTTGCTAATAATTATAATCTACAAAGACCCATGAGATCATATAAAATGAAAAACAGCATGCAGAGTTGCAGTGATTGCATGAGAACGACAAAGTCTTCTCTATTAAAAAAAAAACTTTTTTCAGAAATAATAAAAAGTGCCTTTGTGTGGCATAATGAGGTAAATTATAGCTTGAGCGGTTGGTGAAAATTACAGGGTGTCAGTCATTTCTGTGAGTTGCTCTTAAACACCCACATTAATTATATCGGCTTCACATCAGTCAAGCTTTTATCAGGTGGGTGTCTGAGAATCCTGCTTATTGAATCCAATGTTTCAGCGGAAATAGATTTCTGTGGCTTGTTTTTGTAAATAGGCTATTCACTAGAAAATTTAGTACCGTGTTAAAACTTTTCAGGGAAAAACGGCTGACTTAGTTGTCTCTACACTTCAGAAGTTTGGGGTCTGTAGTCCCACCCTGAGCTGAGAGAGCTTTTCTACACTAAAGAGTCTCTGTTTCAGACCCATCAGCCATGCTAAAGTAGTACCATCTTTAAGGTACAGGTGTCATTTCTTCTTCCAACAAAACTCTGAGACTACAAAGTACATAGACTCTAGAGTGGTGAACCAGCCTCAAACAGGCAAATTCAGCCTTCCAGTGCTTGGGTGGGAACATATATAAGGGTTGATAAGTGAAGTGTGCTGCTGTCAGGCAGGCCTGTTCAGTGTTTGCACAGTTCAGGTCAAAGACATTATATATAACTAAACCAGTAAGCCTCAAGTAGCCGTGGTGTAGGCCTATAGTTTATAATTTAGAACAGTTAAGGAGAGCTGTTGGGCATGCGTGGAGTAGAGTGCCTAAAACCCTCTTCACGGAGGTTATTGTTTTTATAAAACTTTTGGAATGCACTTGTAGCCCACATGTTAAATCAGAATTCGCAATGAAATCTGATATCTTGAAACACTTTCTTTGGCACAGTTGCAGGATTATAGTGTGTGCCAAGCAACAATACTGATGTAATGTATGTTTTTATAATAATTTACAGCGGCTTCAAACACAGCTCAACAAATCATAATCAAGTGCATAACTATCATTTTATTTATAACGAATGTTTTAGAACTTTGAAAATGAAATTAGGAAGGGATATTTAAGATTCTGCATATATCACTTATCCGCTAATCAAATAAGCAAATTTGTAACAAATGTGACCTCATCACAGGTCCATTTTTTCTCTTTCCTGCATGATTCTCTCGTATTAAAGAAAATAATACAATTGTACAGTAAATAATAATAATTACAATAAAGAAAAGAAAAGAAAAGAAAAAAGAACAAAGTTTTATTTATTTTATTTAGGTTATTTATTTATTTTTTTGACTATTTTGACTTGGACTAGCCTATTTTGCTTCCATGTTTTAAGAAAACATCCTAAAAACACATTTAAGTGATTTAAGTGTATATTTTATTACACTTTATTGTCAGTAGATTTCAACTCAATCAAGGCTATACATATTTTAAAAGCCAGTTTTTACAGAATGAGTTTTTTTTTCTCTCCCAGAAATCTCCACATCAATAGAACTTGCATAGGCTAACCCAAATTTACAGTTTTATTCCTATCTATATTTTGAATGTTTTAATTGAGGATGTTTTCATGTATATAAAGGGGTGGACAGATAAAACAGAGTTTAATCATTATTATAGATTACTGGTGGGCTATCATACAGGCTAAGACAAACATGATAAATAAGCAATTGTCAGTTAAAACTGAATTTAAAAAAATCAGAACGATTTACGAATGAACCACGCTGTTGTGTCAATTCCTTTGAACGACTCCAAAACGAGTCGTTTGAATCGGTTCGTGATACAATCTGAATCATTCTCACAGCTCACGCGCGCCTTTAATCGTTTTGAGCGGTTTCTTTCAGTAATTAAAACGTTAACGAACGAATTTAAAAGACAGGGAAAAAACAAAACAAAGCGCGCTAGACAAAGTGAAAATTCACCTGGAATCCATTGAAACCAAACCTGTAAAAGGTTCATAGCATTTGTTGGCGATGGAAGAGGCGTGTATGAAATTCCACCTGCACGTGCAGCTTGTGAACAAGTCACCTCAGGTAAACAAGTACATTAAAACGTGTAAAATGCCAAAAAGTAGCCTACCTTGACATTACTTGTGCCATGGTATTCTTCGAAGTAAATACT